TAATCAGTGATGTCAGCGCATCATCCAACCGGAATACAGAACAACAGATCAGTTTCCTTCTCAATGTTTTTATTTCAAAGCATCAAATGGTTGACGCATGTCCGGGTTCGAATCCCAGTATATTCGAGAGATGTGAACTGTTGATGATTCCTTAAACGGATGAGAAAGCTGTACAGTGCTTCCTGTGATTCGTAATAATTTGGCTCTGTATGATGAACGCACTGATTTTTTTAACACCAAATCTCTTCCAAATATGCATAAGAATGATCAAGCCGTTACGACTTTTAGGCCTAATATGAAGTAATAAAGTTTTCAAAGAATGCACTGATCTAACAAGAAATAGGGAACAACTGAAATGACATAAACCGTCTCAACGTGTTCACAACAATGATTCATTGATTATAATTATCGATCCATCGTTTGATTGCACTCGTCTATGCAACTCGGAATTGTGAAGCACTGAACGATTCTCTCATCGAGTCGGTCGTACTTTGTTGGGAAAAAGGTAAAGTTTTTACCAAATGTAGAGTTGCTCCCTCCCTCATCTTATCCTGAAATGTTTTGTAACATGCGTTGCATCATACATATCTGATTGGGTAACCGTGTACAGCCTGCCTACTTCCTTGCATCAACTCCTTTCCTCAGATCAAAGCACAGAAGGGAGTCGATAAGACTGGATCGGAATTGTGACAAACAAACTTCTAACTTGTACATTCTTAATATTTAAGTTCTAGCATAAGCATTTGATCGGCCGTAAACTATCTGACTTTTGGATTGTCTATGTTCGTCTCTCCCCACGCTGCAACCCCCATTGTTGCAGGTATCCAGCAACCCGGTCGTCTGTATGTTCTTTATTTCTAGGTACATTCATCTGGTACGACATTTCTCGGAGCAAATTGACCCTCATCCATCGCATCAAGTCTGCTCCGCCCAGTTCGAGTTCCATTTTGCTTTACTCCTACCTCCGCCCCCTATCCCCACACAACCGTCCCCCTTCTCTACGGGTATATTACAGTCTGCCTTCTCCCAAGAAGTAATTTGACCCTCTTTTCTTCCCATTCACCGACTCCGTGTCGTTCAACTTAGCGCCATGTTAATGAATCTATTGTCACATACTCACTTCGGACGCTTATCTGCAACATCTTACTGAAATACCCCCTTTTCTGCTCCTCTCTCCCTCCCCCCCCCCAATACATGTTCACACACCCGGACAACTTAGCCTGAGGATCACTGACGGTGTGACAACCACTGGCGCCAACCGGACCCAGAGTCAACTCTTCGTCCACCAGTCTGTGCAGATCACAGTTAGCAGTAGTCTGGCTTGAGCGGGCGCGGGCGCGGGCGCGGGGGAGGGGATGAAAGGCAGGGGCTGATTTACAACCTGCTTGTGTGTGTAAATGTGCCGTCGCACTCGCAACCCAATCGCCTCATCCAGCTCACACCAGCTCACATTGTAACTCATTAGTCCTGTCACGCACGGTGACTTACACATATGTCGTCGAGACAGTTTAAAAAGCCAGTTTAAAGAACTGTACTGGCCCATCCTTTTTACTCGCACACACGAGCCATGCCAGTCAGTCAGTCAAGCAAGCAATCAGTCAGTCAGTCAGACACAGTCAATCATTTAACTTGTTTGTTTCTGATACCGGACCGGAGTATACCAGTCAGACAACGGATGTCTTCCAGTTCGGTTTTTCATTCACCTGTCACCTTGTTTCCAGTATCACTCGTGTTTACTCCCGCTCTTACACACACACACACACACACACACACACACACACACACACACACACAACACACATGCACGATGCATTCAATAGCACATTATGCGGTATCAATAAAAGCAATTAAAAAAAGAAGATCGGAGAAGGGATGATAGTATCGTATTTCGATTCGCTCATTCGATTGTTCATAGGCACCTTGATTATCTTGGGTTTCGATTTCTCGTCTTAAGAGATCGGAAATTCGTCAGGTACATCAAAACGAGTTCCGAACACAATGAAATAGTTGTCCTGTCATCACAAATATCTCCAGAACTAACACTTCTTTATGCAACATGACAGCAAGTGTACGAGGCAAGAACGGTGTCATTTGTTTCGCGTAGAGCAACCGAACGAATAGCAAACAAAGTAGGGATACCGGTTTGGTTTTCTTGCCCAAGAACTATCTATAGTTCGAGTGCTTGTGTGTTTTTGTTGCAAAATTGTACAATTTCACTGGTGTTAAAGTCACCTCCGGTCGTGGTATCGAAGTGAGCGACCAAATTATGCCAGACCATGACTGAGAGGTTCGGCAGAACAACTGTGCGGTTGTATGTATGTATGCATGTATGTACGTATGTATGTATGTATGTACGTATGTATGTATGTATGTATGTATGTATGCATGTATGTATGTATGTATGTATGTATGTATGTATGTATGTATGTATGTATGTATGTATGTCAGATGTATGTATGTATGTATGTATGTATGTATGTATGTATGTATGTATGTATGTATGTATGTCAGTTGTATGTATGTATGTATGTATGTATGTATGTATGTATGTATGTATGTATGTATGTATGTTGTACAACAAATTAAAACCTTTTTAATAGACACTTATAGGCATGGGAAAATGATCGCAAATTACTTTGGTCAGGTGTTACTTAATGATGCTTATTCAGGAAGGAAATCTGACGGGAAAATACATCATCTCACCGTTCAGTTTATCTATTTAAAACAAAGAACATCCGTATTGGATGCGTGCGCGCGTGTGTCCTCTCAAAGACTTACATTATGCAACTTGAAGTACAGTCCGCATGCATTGCATACCGGTTCCCCATTTGTGTTTCGACGCCACAAAGTGGTGGTCACCGTGCGACAGTTGGAGCACACAGTACCAGTTCGACGACTGGACGATTGCTACACGATGACCGATCGAACATGTGGATCGGTCGGTCCCATGCGATACGGACGGGCGATTGACATGATGGTGCGAATACATGACGAATGGAAAAGGCAGGCGGGGAAGGGAACGGAGATGGGGTATGATGACGATGAATGTGAAGAATGGTCCTCACAAGATGGTATACTGATTCAAATTCTGGTAATGTGAAACGCTAACTACCGGGAGGGAAGAGTTAAATATCCCAATAGGGGTTTACATAATTTCTTCCAGTCGGCAACCTGAATAGTTCGTTCGAAATGCCACGGCCAGGGTGATCGAAATGAAGGACTTTCACAAGGGCGTTTTTAGGAAGTTAATGGTCTAATGTCGTGTACTAAGATCCAGCCCGGTAGTTTAATCAGTTGGCTAGTTGGAGCAATAGCTTCTCGCTCTCGGGTTCGAATCCAAAGATGAAAATGCGCCATAGTGCTTACAAGGTTTTCAGTGATGGGTGAAAAGTGAACCGCGAATAAGGAAGATTTATGAAACCACCTATGGAGATGGGTGTTTACACACAGTCTCTAGGTCGTAATAGCATACGTCATACTGTTCAGCCTGTTCTCGTATTTGAGCAGGAAACTTATCTTACTAATCACGATTGTTGCTTTTGCGTTTGATAACACTATGAAAAAGGAACAGATGACTTCCGTTTGGTTGACTACCATACATGTTCTGCTGTTGTTGTCAGTTGTGCTGCTCACGAGACTGGAAGTTGATACATCTGACCCAATGTTAGACGAAACAGATCGAACACGGCTCGAAAACAGCCTTTTTGGTCAGATGCAACGAGTTGACAGCGGATCATCCGATTTGATCCACGACGAACCTGTGGAGTAATCTGTCTTTCTTCGACTATCTGTCGATCAACGAGACAAGGAGATCGGAAACGGGCGGGACGGTAGGTGTGTGTGTGTGTGTGAGGGGGAGACATCTGAATCTGTTTGGCTTCAAATCGTTCGGTCACATTTGACATGTACGTCGTGGCAACAAAACTTGTTTCGCGAATGAAAAGTGGCCGGGGAGGGTGAGGAGGGCGGTTGCGGGTAGTTACTAGGCTCTGAAAACGAATAAGCTTAACGGATGAAATGTGACGTGCAGTCGAACTAAGCAATGGTGATGACTACGGGTTGTGTGCGAGAAGTGGTGGATCAGTGGTGGATTCGGTTTTCACTTAATCTTTCAACATTGTCATGATAACTTATTGTGCATTGGATTGGAAATGACAAACAAATCAATTTCTCGGTTGCTCTCATTCAGTGAATGAAATGCAGACGGTGGGGGGGGTAGGGGTGGGGCAAGATCGCCCATCTATTCATGCGGATACGTTTCGTTTAGTAAAACGATAAGAAAGCACGAATACCTACATGGTCATGTGAATATCTTGTGAATGAACTACTGGAATAGAGAATTGAAAACATCGACTATCTGGACAATTTCGTCATTTCGTGGCTCGCTCAATTAAACTGTTAACTTTGCACCCAACCGATGCAATCACTGATTACGTAATATACGCATTTACCAGATCGCATACAGAACTGGAAGTATGAGAAACGTGTGTGTGTGTGTGTGTGTGTGTNTTGTGTAATGAATTGCCTATGGGATGCTATCTTTACCTTGTGAACCATACAAACATGCTTAATCAAGGAATTTATGGCCTATTTTCCCGTCAGCCTATTGTTGGATTACCTAGTCTAAGCTAATCGGTTATTCTGTTCTTCTGGACTCGGGTAGTGGCAAATTATAGAAAATATGAAGCTTGTTTCTGGCGGTCCGAATAGTCGAACCAATGCTTGTGAACAAGTATAGCTGCGAATCGATGTGCACACAGGGCTGTTTGTTTGTTAGTTTGTTCAATCGTGCTCAGACAAAGGTCGAGGAAATTGCCGGTTAGAAAAATACTGTCGGATATCGTTGAACTGATCCCGAACTCTAACACCGTTTGATCCCGGTTGCAAACGGTTCTGATATCAGCAGGCAATATTACCATAGTATATACACAGACACGCATACATTTTCTGAAGCGGGAAACTAAAAATTTCAGCGTCAATATCGACTGTCTTTTTGCTCCGACCAGCCAAGAAAGGGCCACCCGGGGGTGCAATATTTGCCATTCTGGTTGTGCAATCATGTTGCACGCGTGATAAAAAACGAAACCCTATTAGGAAAAAGATGAACGGAAAGACTAAACACGTACATATACAATAACCTTGTTTGCAAAATCGGGTGATTTTTTGAAAGGTACCTCTTTCATAGCCAGTCACGTTTGTTGCGGTTAGTAGCATCTGACCGACCTACAAAACATCAAATCATAGTATTGATTCTTACGAGGACTGGCTCTGAAAGAGCTGTCTATCCAAAAATCAACCAGTGTTGTAAAAAGGTCATTGTGATGAAAATACACTTCCTAGTCACAAAGGATATGAATGGACAGACAAAAGATTACCGGATACACATGCTTGACGAGCGGTAAGAATTGTGAAACCGGTCGTGTGCTTCCAGGGAAATTTTGTCCCGTCATTCACATACTACTTCTTATAATATATATAAATATAATATATATGTATGTGTGCGCGATATTTCCGTTCATCCTTTGTATATAATTAACGCGGTAGTATGTCGTCTTCGACACACAGTCTGTCTCCACCGTCGCAAGTGTAGCCTGGTGAGTCGGATTACAAGGATAGTCTCAGCCTCTCCTACTCACTGCTCAAATGACAACAGAGTAAAGTGAAAAAGAATAAGTACCGAAAGAAGCAAGCATTGAACAGATTGCTGGGGGGAGACACTCGCAGTGTCAACTACCCACTGGTTCAATGTAATCTTCACATTCCACCTATACTTGGCATGATGTACAAACTGGTTGGGGGGGAGCGTATGTGCGAATTAGCGTGCATGTCCGATGATCATCACGAGTCGAGGTAATGCAAGCCAGTTGAGCAGACACAATGACCTGAGGGAATTGACGTGGACACACACCGATGCTAGTCATTGTGATATATCTTGTGAGAAAAGAAGCCCGCGAAGAGCACAGTGTCCTCCAACCTCAGACAGGCATTCTCAAGCCCCAAAATAGGTGTTTTCCATATTTTCCCCAAGGTTCGTTTTCGTGTACCATTCGAAAGCCCGCCGGCAGAACGGAGATATGGATATAAATAAATACGCACCAGTATACCAAGGTGTTCTGTGTGTGTGTGTGTATGCACCTGAACAACGCAACAAAAAGCACTAAAGCACAATTATCAAATTGCGCGTCGTTCCGCATCTTGACGGTAGTAGTACTATTACTACTGCCGGCGGTTGTCCGGCAACAGCAACAGCAGGACCAGGAGCAGCAGCAGCAAAAGCCGGTAAATCATTATTGTCCACCGCCGACTGGCTCGTCAAACACACACTTGTCTTGTTGTGTCCGTCGTGTGTGTTTGAGTACTTGATCACTGAGTAATGTGGGGGAAAGTTTAAACAGTGCCATACACCTACTGCACACACACACACACACATGTTAGTGTGCAGAGGCGTGGTATTTTTTTCCCTCCGCCCGTTTTCCTGTCTGTTCTGTTTTGTTTACGCGCGCTACCACAACCGTACGCCGAACGGATAGAGTTCGGTTTTCCCTTTCTCTTTTTTTGGGGTCTATCCAGTCCATTTGAATCTACCAACGGATGTATGCATGTGAGTTCCACATAGTGAAACAGAACAAAACAGCCTCTGTGTGTGTATTGCAAGGTGTGGATATGCGGACGCAAACAAACAATCACAGGCGCATGCACGGTCACACACGAGCCATGGGACCGGATATTGCGTGACACCAATGACGACATGAGCGGTGCCGAGTAGAACGGTTGCGGCTGCGGCTGCCTGGTTGATGAGCGGCAAACCTAACCGACATGACTTCGCCTCTCCCTCGCACTTTCCCGTTCTCTCCACACGCGTCTACCCGTCCGTCTGACCGCATAATCAAACACATAGCAGCTCACCACAATAGTGTGTACTCCTCTTTTTTATTTTATTTTGTGAAGGTGACATCAACTTTGACGAGTGTGTGTGTGTCAATATGTTTCCGTTCACCTGCTTCCATCACTTTCCCTACCGCGGAAGTGAATGAATATGGTCTTGATGTGTTTTTCTCCCTTCACCAAGACAATCGAATGCGAGAGGGAGAGTGAGCTATTGTTGATTAAATCAAATTTGGCCCAAACGCAAAACACAACCCAGCGAGTGACGACTGGCTGAGGTGCAAATATAGACAAAGCCATGTTGCAATTACGTTACAGTCAANNNNTACAGTCAACCAGTTATAGCGTCGAAATTTTAACCGGTCGTCATCGTACAAGATGAAACATAACTCGGATAACAACCATGAACAGAAATCACGGCCGACTTGAATAGATTGACACCTAGCCACATCGAGTTGAGGCGCGTTTTTCCTCTGAGTGTATTGCATGTCGAACGGGTAGATCATGAATACATCCATGATAAAAACAAACACACTTGTCCCCCGATCGTTTCTGGACAATACTTACCAAGCGCCGTTTCGGTTTAATCAACGGACGATTTTGACCGTTCATTTTCTGATACAATCCGCACGCATTGCACAGATAATTGCCCTGACCATCTCGACGCCATAGCGGAGTGCTCGTGGCCCCACAATTCACACATTCCCGACCTTCTGCTTAGGAGCGGGGTGGGGGGAGGGTGAACGGGAAGTAAGGGGGGGATGAGGAAACGAAAACAGTAGTTGAGAGCGGTGGTTGAACGATAACCCATTGTTTGTTGAGTAACAGATTGGTTATCTCTTGATCGTCTAATCTCATTTTTCACGGTTCTTAGTCCGAGACCCACCCAAGAAGAAAAAAAAACAATACACTGCCGATAAGTCCTACGAAGGATAAACAGCTACCAGGTGTTTCGTGTCAGTGATATCGCCCCTACCCCGGCCCCAGTGATGCAAATTAGTGGGAATGTGAACATCCAGGGCCGAAATTTATGAATAGGCAGACTGGAACATACCTGATGCTTTGTTTACCTTATGGGTTGTAACAATCGTAAGACCAATAGTATGCTTCCTTTGAATTTTTACTTGTTATTACGCATATAGTGTTTTTTTTGTTCAAAAGTGATCTAGTCCTGACATGGTTAGGTCTCAGAGATTTGAAGTATGTTGAATCCTATCTCTATGTGTTTTGGAACAAATTGTACCCCAATATTGGCCGGCACTTTCATCCCAATGGTTCAGTTCCTTTCAAAGGCTCAACCACTGATGGTGGCAATACACTATTCTCTTCTAATGATTACTCACTATGTATTGGTTCAACCGATACTTGACCACTTACAACCGAGAATAATAACAACAGAAATATATAGTTCGCGTTTCATTAAGTACTCATTACCAAGGGAGGATACGCGAATTTATGGAGTTCCCCTGTTGGCCCCAATCCCATTGCTATTCACTGAGTATGTGTTATAACTGTACAACCCCGGGTTTGTGAAGAACACAACTCATTGAACTGAAACGGGCTGACTGTAATTGTGTCAACCCGATTTGCAGGGCCAACATTTGAAATATACAGACCGATAAAACATCGGGTCTGTCAATAATGGCAAAATCGATAACGAACTGACCAGTCACGTGCCATCTGGTGCGAATGAGCTGCGGCAGAATTTGAATTCTCATTACACCTTGTGACCAGTGTACAGTCACATGACCACCCGTCCGAACACGACGGGAAGCGGGAGGTCTATTCGACCGAGACCGGGTTGAATGACTTTTCGACTAAATAAACAGCTATAATTTGGTCGATTGCTTTTCTTTTAATCTGTGTTCTCTTTCCCAAGCAGTTAAATTTGGTCATCGGTTGTGATCATACGACAGAATGGTAAGCTCAGATGAAGAAAAAATAAATAAACACAAAGATGACTCATTTCACAAGATTTAACCTGTACAATAGGACAGATGGTAACCAGATAGTTGGGTAGCCCTGTCATCACAGGTGTATTCCCCGGGTCCAGAGATGTGTCATTCGGCAAATCGATAGTGTTTCTTGGGTGAACAGACTGGATATAACCGGTTGCCATATGTCACAGACAGCGGTGGTTAGCCATGAAAAAATATTCGATCGTGATGGTGTTATTTTAACAGCTATAACTTGGGGATGGACCAGAAATCCAACAGTTATTTTATGAAGAAGAAGAACATAAAATACAAAGCTCCGGCAACCAGTATACGCAATTTGAATGAATGAAGCGAATAGTGCAGGTCAAAGCAGATCATTTCCGTTAAACGTTTATCTGTTCAAGATTCTTAAACAATCAACAGTTTAGCATTCAGTTATTTACAACTTACCGGTAGATGTCAATTTCTTGTTTTTGGCCGACTTCAGACTATTCGATCCGAAATTCCCGCCAACTGCCGTACTCACCGAGGACATATGTCCTGCGGTCATGAGATGATGTGTTTGGGAGTGAATGTGTGTATTCGAAATCCCCATCGGATTTCCATTGGCGCCAAGTACCGGGATCAGACCAAGGTCACGGCTCATAGCATTTTGTGCTTGATTTTGAGCGGGATGCATTTGTCCGTGGTAGGACGAATGAGCGGACGGGGAAACCTGCGCGGGACCAGAATGGGAACCGGGGGTAGTTGCATGACCTACCGCGGTAGCACTGGCCACTGCAGCTTGAGCGACCACAGCAGCGGCAGCCATTGCAGCGGCCGAATGATAGGCAGCACTGGCTGACATCAAATGATCCATTGGGCGTGCTCCCGGTGAGGAATGTAAAAAAGCTGCCGCGGCGGCTGCGGCTGTTGCCCCGGCAGTGGTTGTCACCGAGACAGGCTCGTCAACAATCACATCCGGATATGGACAGAATTTCATTCCGATCGAATCCTCCCGACTGAGAAACAGATTGGCTCGATCGGCGGCGGGGNGTGGATCTTGATTGGTTAACCGTTGGTGTCCAAGGTTGGTTGGATGTGCTGCTGCTGCTGTTGTTGCTGTTGAGGCGGTAGCCGTTGTAGTTGGTTCACCAGTCGCATATGACGGTCGTATTCGGGAATCCATGCAACTGGAATTGACCGAAGCGTAGAAGGAGGCCAATTGTTGGGAGGTTAAACTTTGTGGATAGCAAAAACCTTGGTTCCATGCTCCATTTGAGAACAGAGCATTAATAGGGGTTGACTGATTGCCTGGAGTTGTACTCGCAAGCATAGAATATAACTGCTCACGTGACTGATAATTTTCCTCAACTAAACCGCCATTGAGTGGAGTGGAATGTTGTTGTGGCTGTGGCGGTGGTTGTGAGTGTATTGATGATGACGATGGTGGTGGGATTGATGGTGGGGGTGGTGGCTGTTGCGCTGGTGGGGCGCCACCAGACCCAATCGAGGAATTTTCGTAACGCGGAAATAGACCCCGTGATCCGTCCGTAATGTGATGAGCCATACGGAACGGATATGTGCCAGTCTGAGGGGAAGAGGCTGAAGGGAGAAATTCACTGGGATCGTAATCATCTTTCGAGCGTGACGGACTGAACTTGTCCATCCCCGTGTCTATGCAGTATTCGTTTCCGTGTCGTCCAAAATCGCTGGTGCTCGAATCTTTTACAGTTTTAACACACCCGATCGTCTGTGAGGGATAACCGATCGCGGACAGATCATTGGAGTTCATACTCGGTTTGCGTGGAATTGCAGTCTCGTCGGATTGTGAGACGCCAGCTGGATCGGGACTGGAATCGGGCGAATGTGGACCGGGTTTAACACGTCTGCTCAATTTTCGATGAATTACTCCCCAACTGGAATTGTTGGACGATCCGGGTGCCGGTGTCCTCGTTGGTGGAGATATACTACCGTTCATCTCATTTGATTGGCTCACCGTATAACTACTTCGAATACGACTGCTCATCAATGAGGACGAGGAGGATGAGACCTCATCCCCAACCGGTTTGTCTGTGCTAGCGGAATCCGGATCCATTTTGTCCATGGTTGGCGAACGTAGAGATTTGTCCAGTCCCCGTCCGAATTGATCGGATTCCGCTGGATTCGAGGGGTAGTGTTGTTGTTGCTGCTGCTGCTGTTGTTGTTGTTGTTGTTGTTGCTGCTGCTGCTGCTGTTGATATTGATGGTATACCTGATTCAAACTATGTTGATACGAATGCTGATAATTGTGTGCGGCTAACAGGTTAGATGTCCCGTAGAACGCGTTGTTCGTTCCGAAAGGCATTGAACCGGAGCTCGAATTGAACTCTCGCATGTCTGTCGGTAAGTGGCTTTGGCCTCGGGTAAAGTTTGACCAACCCATTTCGATCGGGTTACGGGACATGTTTGTGGTGGGTGCGGACAGTGTAGCAGCCATAGGTAGCATACTAAGAAAGTGGGGGTGGGGGTGAAGGGAATAAATGGGACNTAAAATGGGTTTATTAAAACAAGAGTCCTAACTAGCACGATTTGTATCGATGACTATGAACACCCATGATTTATCGTTTTTTATTAAAAAGCGGGAAAAAGTAGCGGTCATTATCACCATTCAAAATCATAAGATGTTTCCCTCAGATGCTTAACATATCATGGGGTAATTTGTGGGGTAAGGTCATCCAGAAATAATTGAAGGTGTGTGTATATCGACGGGGGCAGGGGAAACCTGATGTGACAAGTGATGTTATTCGACAACATCGCTCGAGAGACCGGGGAAAAGTTTAAAAAAATTCCATTTCCCAAGGGATGCAAGTTGTGGTTATCTCGTTCAAGAACAATTATCATGTCAGTCCATTCAATTCAGTTTCATGGGAACGGAACACCGGCAATTATCAAGGGCCAAGCAGGACCGAACAATGAACTGGTTCGCAACAGATTGAACCCTATCATTCTGTGATGTTGAGAGTTGATCAGACACTCCGATGAAATCACGCGCTCAGTTGAAACAAGGTCTAGCTGTTTTACGTGGGAAAGATGTGCGAAGGAATGGGTTTTTCCCAGTACACATTTAGAGCGTGCATATTATATCTTATCGAGTGATTTATTCCTTGATGTCTCAGTATTTATCAGACCCCAAAATAATTAAATTATAAAATGTTCAAATTGACATCTCCGTTTTCAGCTATCACAGATACTAAAAGTGATGACATTTTGAGATCCTCACCATAAGGTTGGGTTGGTTAGTTGGTGACATAAAAATGGTATCTCGATTTGACCCTTTCAGAATATGATTGATTCGAGGTCCTGTCGAAACCGATGCCCTGGCGCGTAGTCTTCAAATCATAATGCAAAGGTTCTCACACTGATTTCGAACATCCCAAAT